GGACAGGCTTCAAGGCCAAGCCAGTCAGGAGTAACAGTAACACCTCTGTGATAACGTATTTAAGGACAGAAGGTTGTGGTGCAGAAAGAATTCCAGCCAGGGAAGAGCAGAGTGAGAACATGGGAACAACAAAGCAGACACCAAGGTCAGTGCAGAAGGAGGGGCAGGAGGTGCTCCAGGCACTGGAGCTGTGGCCCCTGCGGCCCGTGGTGCAGACCATGGGGGAGCAGCTGTGCCCCTGCAGCCCATGCAGGACCATCGGGGTGCAGAGACGCCCCTGCAGCCCATGGAGGAGCCCATGCTGGAGCAGGTGGATGTATGAAGGAGGCTGTGACTCCGTGGGAGGCCCAAGATGGAGCGGGGTCCTGCCAGGGACCTGCAGCCCATGGAGAGGGAAGCCTATACTGCAGCAGGTTTTTCCTGGGTAGGACTTGTGGCCCCTGTGGGGGACCCACATCAGTACAGCTCATTTATGAAGGACTGCACCCCATGGAGGAGTGACCCACGGGACAGCAGTTTGGGAAGAACTCCTGCCCGAGGGATGGACTCACGCTGGAGAGGTCCTTCAAGGACTGTCTCCTGTGGGAGGGACCCCACGGGAGCAGGGGAAGGACTCCTCTCTCTGAGCAGTAGCAGAAACAACAACTGACCATAACCCCCATTCCCTGTCCCCCTGCACCACTGGGAACATGGAAGGAAGGAGGAGTGGGGGGAAGGTGTTTTTAAGATTATTTCTCACTCTTTGGCTCTTATCCTGTTAGTAATAAATTTAAGTACTGTCCCCACTTTGAGTCTGTTTTGCCTGTGAAGGTAATCAGTAAGTGACCTCTCCCAGGTGTTATCTCAGCTCATGAATCCTTAGCTGTTTTCTTTTCTCTCCTCTGTCCAGTTGCAGAGGGAGAGTGAGAGAGTGGCTTTAGTGGGTACCTGGCATCCAGCCAGGGTTAACCCACTAAAGACACCCTCCAGGTGCTGGAAAGGAATGAAGGGAACTGCAACTTTACCAGAGAGACAGCCAACTTCTAGGCTGCTCCATTTCTTCTGAAGGACTAGAGTAGGAACCTTTGTGGATCCACAAGATCTTGCAAGAAAAGCAGATATTTTCATCCAGCTTTTGTTACTTTTCAAAATACACTTATCTATTAATTATTTCGTGCTGTATCAACCTCCCAGAATTCTTTTTACCCCACTTATATTACAGATTACAGATATAGGGACTACATGGCACCAAACACTTTTGAAAGTGACACCTTATATTTTTATGGACATGTAAATATACGAGGGATGTTGTCACTGTGATAGATACAAATTATAAAAAAAAAAACCAAGGTTCTAGACAGAGATTATTATCACACAGTTGCTTTGTGAAGAGCAGATATTCAATTCCTTCCTTAGATCTGAGAAAGAAGTACTGACACCCATACTAAATCCAGGCTAGGAGAAAGGGCTCTGAGCCCTTGGTCCCCCCAACATCAGTATCAGTGCTGTGACTGCTGTAGTCACCCAGCAGCACAAATTTGATCTGACTCAGACGTGGGCACATGATTGCAGTTCTCTTGTGTTAGTCAGACACTACAGAGCTGTATTCTTGTTTGCTGGCTTTGTGTCAAGGGAGGAGGCAGGGGCAAGATGCACTGAGCTGACTCAACAAAGATTTCTGAACAAGGACCCACCAGCAGCTCAGCCCATGCAGTCTATAGATATGGCATTTTGGAGTGGACTTCAGAAACCCTCAGCCCAGCTGCAAGCTGTTGGCATATCAATAACACCATTGACTTAATTCGCTACTGAGTTTTGAGATATAGGTTGTTAGCACCTGCAGAGCAGAAAACTGTGCCAAAATGAGAGAGGAGGGGTCATCAGCCTTATGGAAGAGCAGGAGGACTGAGCATCTATAAGCTACCAAAAATAGAGGGATCTGCCAAGAGTGGTTACAAGTAAAATAAGCATTTTTATTTGTAACTCACAATCATAGCATTGATATTATGATTCTCATGCTCCTTTCATGCCTCTCTGAGAGCTATATCTGATGCTGAAAATATGATTGTTCAACTGCAACTGGAGGGTTCATAGTTGCAGTCCTCATAACCAGCAATCCTTTTAATGCAGTGATCTAGCACTGCCATACTGTCTCTTCCAGAAGCACTATTTTCCCCTAAGTGTGTCAGGATCAAGCGTCTGTCCTCTTGTTGGCACCACTGGACCACAATAACATCTGGCTGAAGCCCTGAGCCTTCAAAGATGGACACACAGTGTGTGGTCAATATGATAAAGGCTTTTAGTGTTCTGTCCACCCTTAGGCTACCTCCTTTTGTTACAGTGAAACAGACTCTTTGCTCATGTCAAAAACACTAATTTCAAGAAAAAGATGTGAACATATACTGGTGGAGAAGACTGGGACTGGCCTTTCTTTCTCATTCCTCCTCCACCACAGCATTGCTAAAATGTTTATTACTTTGGTGTCCACCTGCTGACCTATAATAGTATAAATTTGGACTAAGCCGAATTTTACAGTTCAACAAATACAGAATGTTTTTTAAAGTCACACTTGGCCAGATGCAACGTCTGGAAAACATCAGTCCAAAATTTATCATAACTGAAATAAAACGAAAGCATAATTTAGCCAGATTCAACATTACTCAATGCAGGGGAAAGTACTGCTACCAAAGCCTGAATCTGCTACCCTTTTATGAATTTCTCTCTGCTGAAGACTATAAATTCTTGATCAGATGTTCTTTCCTGAACTGTAAAATAGATCAAGTCAAGTTCAATCTAGCTAAGCAAGAGCAACATTTACTGAAATCAGAGAGATTTAGAGCAACAGGGTTCTACAAATCAGCTGTCCTAGCACTCACAACTTGTCATACAAGAGCTGATAAAATCTTCAGTACAAACGGTTATTTGGAAGATTAAATCCTTACCCTGTGGACATGGATCCTTCAAAAGCATTAAATTACTGAGAAAATTGAGGGGACACATTTTTCACAGGTACTTATGTAGTCACTTGTCTACCTCATTACACAGCTAAATACCTTTCAAAATGTAATCTTCAGTCATACTCTCAAAGGAGATAGATTTTTAGAGGTGCACAGATGGCCAGGAGGTTTACAAGGTGCCTAGTTGTTTAGTTCACAGTAAAGTGGATGCGAGTGAAGGGTCTCATATAAAACCACGTTAACCTGCCTAAGAAACACAGCCCCTAAGATCGTGTGTCTTGTTAAAATCAGTAAGGTTGGACCTCTTGCAAGCTCTCAAAGCTACTCTTTGGCTTTCCATGAGGTAGTGCCCAGGCAGCCAGCAGCAGTGCCTGATCACTGGAAACAAGGAGGGGAGAGGTGTCAAGCCTGAACCAGCCTCCAGACAGAGCTGGACTGTCAGAACAGAGGTCTGGCAACAGCAGGGAACAGACAGTCCATAAAAAAACTGACATTAAAGTAGGCCAGTCCAGACCTTCACAGAGACACTTCAATCGTATCTGCACTGTTTAAAGCAAGCCGTGGGTTTGTGTAGACCATTTGAGAAGGTGTTTTTCTTTAAATAGCAACTTAGGATGAGAGCTGCCACTTCCAATTTAATCACCGTTCTTTAATACAGCCTCATGCTTTGCAGCTGGATAATTAACCTTGATATTCATTTGGACTTCAAAACACACAATTCCCATTGCTGTCAATTAGCTGACAATGTCGAGTATGTGTTGATAGAAGATTTTTGTGTGACCCTGGCAATATGGCATTTGGGAAATTTCAGTTCTTCACAACTAACTCTAACAATTTTAGAATGGTGAGTGACATTCACAGAATCTCAGAATGGTTGAGGTTCTAAGGGACCATTGGAGGTCAATTAGTCCAACTTCCCCGCTCAAGGAGGGTCCCCTGGAGCACTTTATTCAGGATTGTATCCAGGCAGATTTTTACTATTTCCTCCTCATGTTCAGGTGAACTTCCTATGTACCAGTTTCTGCCCTTTGCCTCTTGTCCGATTGCTCAGCACCACTGAGATTCATGAATTTGTCACTGGATTGAGTTCATTAAACAAAAGAGATGTACATTAGGGTTTACCCTACTTTCTGTTCTTACAACAGTGAAGCTTTCTAGAAGATCCTCCAGAAAATCTTCAAACCTTCTTGTTATCCTGGTCTTGTACAGCTCTGAGCAAATGGAAGATGCCTCTGTCTCAGAGCATTCAGAAACTACCATACTTTTTAACACTAAGATACAGCTGGAGGCAGGGTTAGAAATGATTGTTACACAACAATCTTTGATACATGAGGCCATACAATAAACACTGCAGTATGAAAATGGGACAAAATATGAGAAGGGCCAGCGGCACTTTTTTTCCCCACTGATTTCTTTGCATTTATGATACAGAGTTACAGCCTACTGGTAACAAGATTAAATTAGTGGGCAGAAGGAAGTTTGGATCAGACTGTTTTCCTGATATCCCACTGTGGGTCGCGTTCTGCTAATAAGTGTTAACCCTGTAATCAGGCAAACATTCACCTTGAGAAATGAACAACCTTAATCAGGGCTCTTAAAGCAGTCAGAACAGGCAACAGCTAAATTGAAATTGGCTCAAATGCAACTGTTTTTCTTTCAAATATTGTTCTTCCTCTCCTATGAGAATGGGAGATAATAGCATAAGTGAAACATCCTTGTACCAAATGTCACCAGCACCTGCAGTCCCTTCCAGGTTAGAAACTGTGTTTTGCAACTAAGAAGGAATAGCTGATGCTCAATTGAATGCTTTTGCAGAGGCTAACTACAGCCTTTTGTGAAGGCTCCTAATGTAAGCCCAATTTGACCTCCATATTTTCAAAGGACTTTACCTCATCTGCTAAGTAAAAATAGCAAAAAACCTAAGGGGAAAAAAAAGGGGAAAAAAAAAGAAATGTCAGTCCGTTGTGCTTTCCCCTGGATTGGAGAATGACATCAACCTTTGAGTCTTTATCTGACGGTAGTTTGACAGTATCAAAAACACTTACTATTCCATTTTCTACACAGGGTCAACATTACGAAGAGGAAAAACGGGCTTTGAGCCATGAAATAATTGCACTCAATAATCACTTAATAGAAGCCAAGGTGACAATAGATAAGTTGTCAGAAGACAATGTAAGTATTTAATTATGGATATATCTTGAGACTATATTTAGAAATAATTTAGGTCTTGCACTTCCCATGAAATTATAGAATAATTTGTTATTGTTCATGTAGTGTAACGTGTCACCTCAACAGTTAAAATTTCTTTGTTTGTTCCCATCATCTTGTAATTCAACTCTCCTTATGCTATGAAGTTGTGGTGAGACTTTTGACATTTTTTCCTTATGTAACCTGAAACTGATGAAAAAATACTCTAAGAAACGGGAATATTCCCACATTGATTTTGCCATCAGTACAGCAAACTGGTGCAAGTACATGCTCAGAGCTGTTGCAGGGGCACATGTATGGAGTGAGGACTCCTCATAAGGCTTTTAGGCACAGTGTGAAGCCCTACATTTCCTGCAGTTCCTCTGATCTTTTGGTCTTTGCTCACCAAAATGGGATGCCCAGCACAAGTGAGCTCTATTAGCAGAAGGTAGGATTGACCCAACTTGGTCACTCAGATCATTGCACAGAGGAGGAGGAGGCAGGTTTTCCCCAGCAGTCATTAACGTGGAACAATTTATCTATCTCTATGTGGAACAAAACAGGGAACAACTAGCAATTTTCACTCTGCATCTCATTAAACACTGTTGAAAACTGGCATGCGTACTGCAGCTGGCAACAAAGCTCATTAAATCCTTCCAGGAACAAACCTACAAAGACAGCAAAGAAAGGAAGATTGTAGGCATTTAGTTCATTATTGTGGCATTCCCTCAACACTTAATAAAAAATTCATCTACAGAAGACATGTTTCTTTTAGCACTTATTTTTTCAGTATCTTATATTCAATCTTCCCATATTTCATCTGAACTCTAAATCACAGCAGGGAGCATTTGATCCCATTAAAATGCCTGTTGATATGAATTGTGCCTATGCAATTAACAACTTTCCAATGGAAACAGAGTTCATAATCTGACCCTTTACTTTTACAAAAGTTGAGTTGAAAGAACAGATATTACATAGCTCTAACAGCTGTAACCAACGGAGCATGGTAAATGTAATGGGCTACATTTAGGTTTTAGAAGCACAGGTATACATCCAGACTAACGCAGCTGCAATCAGTGGAGATATTTCAAAGTTAAAATAGAGGTGGGAAAAAATTGTCAGACTCTCCCTGTAAGTATGCATGAATTTACACTTCTTCATGGAGTCAGGTTTGAACCCACATTTGAAGTGTTTTCAATTTTCATAGTTTCACTCTGAGCATTACAGTATGGTCCAGAGGCCTCAAATAACAGTATCACTTCTTCAGACTTGAGGTGAGTTTGCAGACAAAATTTTGCCCTTGCAGGACTCAAGGAAATGGCATGAATCTGAGTCAGGTTGGATATCAGGAAAAGGTTTTTCACCCAGAGGGTGGTTAGGCACTGGAACAGGCTCCCCAGGGCAGTGGTCACAGCACTGAGCCCGACAGAGTTCAAGAAGCATTTGGACAACACTCCCGGGCACACAGTGTGGCTCTTGGGGATAGTTCTGCGCAGGGTAATAATAAAACTAATAAAAGTAAAGGTTAAAGTCCAAATTTTAAAGAAACGAACTATGAAACAAACCACTAGTATTATACCTAATAAGTAGAGACAGTGGTAAACTGAAGAATCCAGCATGGAGAGAACATGTTTTTGTCTTGGCAATCTTTCTTCCTTCAATTATATTTCCCCTCATTCTTCTGACAGAAATGTAAAATGATGCTTTTGATGCAAAAACATGTTTTAAATTATTGGAAACAGTTTTGGCATTAATTTCTGCTTATTGTTCTAGTTGCCACAGAGATGGCTAGTTTCCATTCAGGCAAACATTAAAGAAGAGAAAGTCACTCCAGTCACATGGCTTGGCCCAGCACGCTGAGAACAAAGTACACGTGGCACATGTAACTCACATGTAATTTTTCTGTAGTAATTTTTAAAGCTGCTAAAAATAAAGTGTCAGAAATGCTTTTTGTACTCTCCATGACAACCACTTCACAGAAACAGGAACACAGCTTTTAAAGAAAGGACTAGATTTTGGAGTGATACCATTTTTGTGTGCCTAGTAATGCCATATAGGACTAGCAGTACCTACACGTTGTACAGCAGTATATTTTGGGTTTCATGTGCATGTAACGTCAAAATCACACGCACACGCAACAGACTTTGCTTCCAAATTGAATTATTGGGTTCTTACAGAAATGAAAATAGTGTGTACTAATATAAAATTTAAGACCCGCATAAATTAATATGTCTCCCCAGTTTGTTTCAGGTAGAAGTGGCATGTATAAAAGCTCACACAGACACAGAAAGAATTCACAAACCAAGAGCATCTAAAGGTCCTTGAATATGAAGATATAATGAACTAATGATCGTAGGAAAACTATCCTCATCCCTCATGGGTTCACAGGAACATCTTGTTTCATCTGTTATTACAGAATACCTTAAAACAGTATTTCTAAACAGAGGGAATTTCCTTTTCATAGAATATTTCTTTATCAGCTTTTTAAAAAATAAATGGAGGAGTAAAAATTGGCAGGCAATAAAATTGTAAAATTAAGACCAGAGAAAATCCAAATCATTTCAGTATTCAACACCTTTTTTCTATAAGTATGTTCTAATTTTTACAGATTAACACAGCCTAGTGCCCATAATACCTTTATACTTTGTATATCTCTGCCCACCTACAAATTCAGCTTCTGAAACCAACTCTGTTTTTAATGCAACTGCATAAGGAAAAACAACATACAACTCTTACCTTCAGGGACCCAAAGGTACTGGTTGAAGGATACAGTTACACATTCATGTGTGCTAAATTAAATTGGGTGAAGGGCAAATCTGTGTACTGAATTTTCCCATTAAATATGCTGTGGAAGCCATTCAATAAGGAGATTGTATAAGCAGCTTTCTTAAATTCTCTCCTTCTCTGTGTGGAATTCTCATGGTAATTTCTTGCCCAGTGAAAGTATTTTGTTCTGGATCATCAAATATTTGCAGTGAGATTTAATATATTTCTATAGCTGCATTCTGCAAGATATTAAAGGAGTCAGGAACCAGAAAGAAAATATCATAAGGAGACAGAGGCTCCCTTCTTAAAAAAACAACATAGTGTATATTTCTGTAATGAATTCTCCCACAGTCTCATAAAATTATTTTATCACTTTCTACAGTAGTATTTTAGTGCTGATCTTGATAATACTCAGCAGAAATTGTCTGTTCTTGAATTTTCTTTTTTGTTTAAAAGATCACGTTTCTTTTAGCCTTCACAGTACCATGCATGTTAACAGTAAAAAGTCCACTTCCTAATGGTAAGTATCCATGTTCTGAAATGTAGATTGCTGTTCTGTTGTAACAGTTCTCAAAAAATTTTATTCTTACCAATTTTATCAGCCCTCACAGAGCAAAGGGGCAAATATCTCTGGATCATGCAAGAAACACAACATCTTAATGTATTTAAAAGTTAAAGTATGCTCCAAATTTGCTCAAAGTCAATTTTTAAAAGATTTTTCATGGGAGAAAGGCTGAAAGCCACAAGCTCTTTGCGAACTTTAAATAAGAGGCTATTTTTTGGGTTTTTTTCTAGGAGCTCTATAGGAAGGACTGCAATTTAGCTGCTCAGTTGCTCCAGTGCAGCAAGAATTACGACAGGGCACATAAACTCTCAGAGGTAATGTGACTGAACTTCTTCAATATTCAAAGAAATAAATATTGTATGGGAAACAGGTTATTTTGCATGTATCAATCCCAGAACTTGTTTGCCCTTAAAGTTTTTATCTCCCCACACCCTGCCTTTAAACCACAGGAGGGCTTGAGCACCTGCTACTGTTCTGTGCAGCCTAGGGAGGTGCTGACAAAATCACAGCCAGTGATGGTACTTGAAGACACTCTCTTCCCCAGAACCCCTCCTATCCAGTAGAATGGGCCTGCACTGATTGCCTGAAAAACAAAGGTTTTAGAAAAACCAAAGAGCTGCAAACTCTAGAATGCAAAATGCTGGGGAGAAGCAGTGGGGTGAGAGCAAATGACAAGCTACAGGCGTCAGAGATTCTGATATAATCAATTTTCCTCCTGAAGCTATTTTCCAGTCCAGCTAGTTTCCAAACCTGAATTTTAAAATGGACTGACAGAACAAATACCTTTTTCTAAAGAAACCAGAGCACCGAATTATTGATTTCCAAGGTGTAAACTTTAATTAATAATCCTTGCTTCCAAGGAAACTAGGCTTGAGAAACAGGCTCCTTAAAGGGAAGGTAAATATTATCTTAGTGAACAAGACTGTCTTTAGGGATACAGGCCCTGCACAAAGCAAAAGCATCTTCCTCACATATATTGCTTCAGTGAAGGTCACAGGGAATAGCCCTTTCTTCATCAGTCCCATCAAGTCAACATTCCCCCAAATGGTCTCTCTTTTGCAATTCTGCAATAGAATAAGGCAAAATTAAATGTGGAATGTATAAACCATTTCTAAGTCAGTTGATGGCTTCAGTGCACTAAATATCCCTGGTAAATAAAGATGGAGCAACTTTCCTCTGTTAAATGGGCAATGATTTTCTGGAACGGAGACAGAACTTCCATATTAACCATTATCTTGGTTATTTTTTCCTATTATCTGACTTTCCTTAGCAGGAATTATCATCACTAACATTATTAACATTACTAACAAACATCTGAAAGCATCCTATCTGTTAGCAGTAATTAGGACCTTAAAAGTTCTTAGTGGTTCACTTGCAGAGAACTATCGCAAATGTGGGATCTCCCCACAGTTTCCCAGACTGTCAAACATTCAATTAAATAGGCAATCTCCACTCATAAGTCCAACTATTTTTAATTTAGCAAGTGTGAATGCACTGTCACAGCCAATAAATTCCTTACAAATGCAAATATTGCCTGATAAAGTATTGTATGTTATCCAGAAACCTAAACTGTAGTACAATATAGTAATGTGACAACAATATCATTTTAGTAATTCTAGTTTCCAGTGGAATATCCAGAAAACAATGTTCTTCTTCTTAACACATTTCATAATCTTAATAATGTATATAAAATAGATCAAACAGTCATGCTACAGGATACTGTAGCTGCCCCATACAGCATTTTCACATTAAATTAACTGTATTTCTTTTCTTGATTTCTGTGGCAATTTACACCAGGCCTATTTTACAACCTGTTAATTCAATCTCTGTTGCATCTGTACTTACTGTGACTAATACTGCTGTCCGCCAGCAGACTGGCAATATCATATTCTTTATTTCCAATGGAAGACATATGAGCTAATTAGCAACATAATGATTAATCCAAAATATCCTGGAAGGTTCTGATCATTGAAAAAACACCCTATGTCACTACATACCATGTTTGGAATACACTGAGTTTGGAGGATTAAACCAGTTTTGAAAACTTCCCAGTGAAGCTAAAAGAGGAGCTCCATTTCTTATACAATGTGAGATCGGGACAAGAAGCAGGCACTGTAAATTTCCTTTGCCAAAAGTAAAGTGAAAGGGGACAACTTCAGTTATTTGTAGGGTTTTCTCCTCTAGAGAAACAAAGTTAAGGAGGGAATGAGGTCATAAGGTTAGCCACTATTTATTTTGTAAAGAGGAACTTGATTTCTAGTTATAAAAAGAAAGTGCAGAGTAAATCAGAGTTCAGCTAAGCACTCACGGGATAAATTCCTAAGTGGCATAAATCAGCACAGATATCAAAGGAGCTATCATAATCACAAACTCAAAACTTATTCCAAACATGAGTTTTTCTGATTTCCAGCAAGAAATCTGAGACACAACCATCACACAGCTCTCTGTCTCATATTGCTGTCAGATCATTGATAGAGATCTGAAATGAGCAAGGAAGATAAAACTTGACTGGAAAGCATGTGTAGTGATACTTCAGTAGGCCTTACCTACCAGACTTTTGGATTGCATCAAGGAATGTGGTCTCTATCTCTTCTGGTCCACATGACAGAATGGCAGGTGGAACCACCCACAGAGCTGATCCTGACTTTCTCAAAAAAACTATGTGATTTCTGATGCATAACAGACATTGATTAATTCTGTCATGGGAATCATAAATTCATGTAAGAACATGTTGAGCCTTATGTGGATGGTTGATCTGACAAGCAGTGTCCAACTGATGGGGCAAGGAAGCTGGTTTGATTTGCTTCTTCCCAGCACAAGAACACTCCTGTCACAGCAGCCAGTACCACTTTAAGTGTCAGTGAAGTCAGCTTTTCCACCTCTTCAAACAGCATTGTTTATCAAATGTGAAGCCAGAGAGCAGGAGCCAATTTGGCACTGGATTGGAGGCAAGATGAGCTTGAGGAAAGGCAAAAGAAGAACAGAAAATTCTGATCTCATCCTCCTCTTTCTTCACCCCCCTAGAAACCTTCGCACACCCACACTCCAACCGCAAATCTCACCCAGGCAGACAGTCTGGAAGTATTGCTCTATGTTTTAATTCCCTACCTGCCTTTTTAAGATTGTTGTTTACTACGTACTTTACATCAGTAAAGTAAACCTGGCAGTGCTGGGCTAATGGTTGGACTCAATGAGCTTAGAGGCCTTTTCTATGATTCTGTGATCATTCCTATCCAACCCGAATTAACTTGGAAGGAAGCTTTTCAGTTTCACAGTGTTGTCCATGAGGGAAAGCAAATGAATATTTCCAAATATCAGGTAGATAAATGAAAGTCATTCAATTACATATGATTCCAAAAATGTACAAAGATTGTGGCCCTCACATTAGCAGAAGAACCATGTATAGTGAGTTATGCCATGTCATAAACAGCACTCAACTCACACCAGTATTGATATGTACCCTTTTCTCCTTTCTCTTTTGCCATCTCTTTATGTTATAGTTGCCATCTGACTTTCAGGAAAGAGTCAGCATCCATCTGGAAAAACACGGGTGCAGCCTTTCTGTCCCCTTGTGCCACACTTCTTACGCAGACACCATACCCACTTGCGTCATTGCCAAAGTACTGGAAAAACCAGACCCAAACAGCTTGTCTTCACACTTGTCAAGCCCTTCTACAAGGGATCTCAATTTTCAGGACTCTGCCGGAAAAGTCGGACAAAGGCCACAGTACAAGTCCGATATCTACTGCAGCGACACAGCCCTTTACTGCCCCGAGGAGAGGAGGAGGGAGAGGAGGCCAAGTGTGGACACGCAAGTGAAAGACGTGGGGTTCCTGCGGTCCCAGAACTCCACGGACAGCACTGTCGAGGAAGATGGATTCCATTCCAGCTTCTCTCATGAAGCCTTCCCAGAGTACATTACCTCTCTGCCAACCTCCAGCTCCTATTCCAGCTTCAGCGTCACCTCCGAGGAGAAGGAGAACGCCCAAGCCAACACTCTGACAGCCTCTCAGCAAGCAATCTACATGAGCAATCGAGACGAACTGTTTGAAAGAAAGTCCCCTGCAGGTTATGAGCACCAGGGAAGCCCCAGGTTTGCCAAGCCCAAACCTGCGCAGCACATGGAGCTCGCGGACGACAACGAGAACTCACCCACTTTTACCAGAACTCTGCCTCCATATGCAAATGAGCCTTTTCATTTCTCAGCCATAACACCACAGCAGGCGTTAGCAAATCAGAAAATGAGGAACGAGTGCAGGAGTACCCACCTTTCAGAAGAAGACTTGCCTGGGCGATGGAGGCAGTTGAGCGTGGAGGACATTGGTGCATACTCTTACAGGAACGCTGGCAGGCTGTCGCCCTGCAGTTTTTCAGAGCAGTACTATAGCAGCCCTATTAAGAAGGGGGACAGCCGAACAAGCCCCATCTATGCTAGTTACAAAGCAGATAGCTGCTCCGAGGGAGATGATATCTGCCAAAGCAGACTTGTGGATTCCTGCTTCCTGAGAACAGACGGTGGTCTGAATATTGACATCAGCACTAGCTGTAAACAGGACAAATTGCCCACTTACAAAACTAAAGAATCAAGAGACCAAAAAAATGAAAGGATCACTGTCCAGTTATGCAGTAGCAAAAACATCGAAAACAGCCCAGTATTGAAAAGAGAATACGTGGATGTGAGCCCCAACAGCTCGGCAGAGTCGCTCAATCAGAGTTCAGTGGAGGCTTCAGAAATCCACCAGTCTTCCATGGATCAAGGAAGCCATTCGGGTATTCACAGCAAACAGCAGCAGTTTCAACGGACTGGGAGCACTGGTTTGAGTCGGAAGGACAGCCTTACAAAAGCACAATTATATGGAACCCTTCTGAACTAGGCATCTTCCAAAACGGCAATAAGACAACAAACAAAAGGAAGCAAAGAGCATTTGATACTTCTAGTGAACAATAAGGTTCTAAGAAACAGGATTATTATAAAGTATATATTCATAATGGTACTATATGTTTAAAACAAAATCTCTTCAAAAACGTTATACAGCACTTTTCACTTAACATCCTTTCCACATGGGAGATCGTCCCCTCCCCTCTTTTATAAACCTGAAATATTTTTATAATCAAAATGGTATTTATTAGACTATCTTAAGCTATTTGAGCAGAATTCTTTTCCCTTCAAGCAGGTTTCTTATTTATTTTTGTGCATGAGGCCATCTGTGCCTAAATTCTTGGAGAAAAAGGGTAAAATCATGATGGCGGCGATAAAAAAATAAATCCACCTGATAAAATACCATAAAATGTCATGTGAAATCAAAACAAACAGGAATGGTGAATTTGAAGAAGTATATTTTTTAACAAGAACGGAATTGTATCTTAAGTTATTTCATAAAAATGTATTTATGAGTGACTAATGTATGCACAAAGTGATACTAATATTTTGTTCTTTTAATCCACTGTGTTTCTGCTTTCCTATTTTTCCTTGTATACTACCTCAAAAGTAATTGAGGGTTTCTTTGTCACATTTTCTGTAGGCTTGCATTTATATTGTCTAAAATGCATGCAGTGTCATAATTAATACTGTATTTTGCATAACTTAATAAAAGACACCAGTGGATCTATTTTGGGGTTATTTTTTCCCTTCATTAAAATAGACCCTGGACAATAGAACATGGAGTTTCTTGGAGTGGCACCAGTCCAGCAGAAGTTAATGACTAAAGCTCCTGAATTAGATTGCTTTCTAAAGAAGTCTCTTTTTCTCTGTAAGCTCTAAAAATCTGGTTCACAGTCCACGGCCTCTGGGCGTGGAAGGATGACTTCTCATCAGCCTCTTGAAAGTAAGCAATGAAAAAAAATTGTTTATCCACAGGCTTGAATTCACTAGACAGGGTTCTGTGCACTGAAAGAAAACTGAAAACTGCTGGAAAACCAGTGATGTGAACTCCTCCTCCAGTACTCACATACTTGACACAATCTTTTAGGTCTTTAGGACTGTTACATCTCACAGTTGCCTTTTCCTCATATGTAGCTTGGTATTTCTAACCTATTGTTCTAAAGCCTAAGGAAAGTCTGGCCTTCTGTAGCCTATGGGAATTTTACCCCTAAGTCTAAGAAGCTGTGGTTTTACCTGTACTTTGTGCATTTCCTCCACCGATTTTTCTGTTTCTCACCGTTTCATCAGTATGGAGTGTACAACTTGGAGAAGGGAAAGAGCAAAACGAGAAGAGGAGAAAAACAAAAAGGAGAGAAAGGGAGATGCTGTGGATTTTCTTCCTGGCTTCAGTATTGCTGTTTGGTAAGAGGCAGAATAAGGCAATAAATATTTAGTAATTCTTTTAAGTCACGTTCAGGAAACACATATTGTATACTTAATATACTGACTTGACAGCTTATGTATGGGATAAGTCCTTGCTCAGTGAAGTATGTGGTAGTAATCAGTAAGATTGCTGTGGAAATCTAAACTAGTTCCTTATAAAGCTAAAATAATGATTTATCATTCAATAGCTATTAAGAAAATATACATTTTCTGCTGATTCTCTGCAAGCACTTACCTGGCAATTAACTATGAACCAGGACTACAGAACTGCTCATTTCCTACATAAGTATCTTTAATCATGGAGCCACAGATTCAATGCATCTGGCACGAGCAACTCCCATTGCTCTCCGTATTCTTCTTGTGTAATATAAAAATTTGACCATTATTGATGTGTGCAAGTACTTGCTGTGCTGTTTGGAAGATCACGCATCAAGTCCCTACAGTTCCTCTGAGATCTGTAGCAGCGCCATGGAGAACAATGGTAGCTAATAATATCACACAGGTAAGGCACAACATAACTCTAAAGTGATGCTCATTTCAGTACAAAAGCTGTTACACATCTTGTGCTTTTACGTCCCCATACTTGCTCACGGTGAGTGTGAGTGGTAGGGCATGCCAAAAATAATTCCATGAAGTCGATAAAAACCACGTAGAATAAAGTTTCCAAAGGCCAACTGCTTCTTATGGCAGGATGTGACCTGCAGTAAATAGGCTTGGAGATCCAGAAGAACTGTTATTTCCCATTCAAAACACTAAGACAGAAAATAGGTGTGAAAAAACTTCACTGTTGACTCATTCAGGTATATAAAATTTAGACAATCCCTAAGGCAAGACATTCATTTCTCTGGTCAATGAATACAAGGATTTGTATGCAAGAGGTGAAAATTAACTGTTATCTCACCTAAAAAAATATATAAGCTATGGAACAGTAAATTGTGTCATTTATGAACTGGAACACAGTGTCAGACTAATCCTTTTATAATACAGTTCATTAGCTGACCTAAAGTGCTATTTTGGTAATTACAGAAAATTACATTTCTTCTAGATGTTATATATCTGATTATTTAATATCCTGTTCTATTATATCCTTTCATACTACTGCAGTTTCAGAGTCTGCTTCTGTGCTTCACTTGACTCTTCTTCTCAGTTTATGTGCACTAATATGTAGACTAAAAACAGCCTTTTCAGCCAATTAGTAATGGGGTTTTTTTTTAAAGAAGCCTGTAACTTTGTAACATTTTTCTGTAATGAATTCTGTTACAGAACAATATCTAACCCTGAAATTAATTACAACTGAATCAAAATGGCTATAAAAATTCTTCAGCTTTAATGTACTGATTTTAATTTCTCCTTAATTAGAAAAACTGACAGTAAGCTTGTTAATTTTCTATGAACATGAGAAAAAAGTTTTTATAATTCACCTGAATTTTCTCAGATTTACAGATCTACCTCTGTCTCGCATTGGCCTTTTTAGCTACCAGCACACTTGTAGCAAATGTGGGTAGAATCCTTCCCTAATCTTCTTCGTTTGCGAAGCCTAGTCATGATGATGATGACATATCTACCTATGGTTTGGTTTAATTTTTCTAAACAAAAATAACTTTGAAAGATTATAATAAAGGATTTCTTCCTCGAGTTTTGGGGTTAATTTTGTCACATTCAATTTAGATTTACTGAGACAACCACAGAGAGAGATTTGAGTCTTTGACTCTATTCTTACGTTCATTTAATGACAAGTGACTCCAGAAATGCAAAACAACAGATCTTCAGCCAACATGCCACAGACTCCTCCACTCCAGTGGCTGAGAATTTGCCATAAAATACCTTTTCCCAAGGGCATGAATATCCAATTTTCTCTTAAGCATTATAAGAATGCCAAGGCGTCTCCATGTTGCCAAAAACACCTCATTTTTCTAAGTGACATCAAATTCTGCATGCAGAGTTTGTAGGTAACTATGGCAGGAATTTTGCTTTGATTAATTATTTCATTTGCCACAAATAAGAAGAGAAAGGGTGAGAAAAAGAAGTGGCAAGTCTCCAGCAATGCAGTGAAGCAGAAGATGGAAAATGTCATTTTAATGAATGAAAACCGAAAGCAGAATGTATATGATACAGAACACTGATCGGGGGAAAAACAAAGAGGGCTGAAAGAGATCAGAGGGAGGCATCTCAAATCATGTATTAAAACAAACAAGAATAAAAAATGCTACCAAGGATATGAAATACAATTCACCAGGAATAACAGTGCAAAAGTATTATGAAATGCATATTTTTAGATATTTTCTCACTCCAAATTGAGCTTAAAAAAAGGTGCAAGATCTCAATAGTTATGAATAACGCATGTTACTTTCTTTTAAACTTTTTAGAAGTCTAGAAATAGCTAAAATTTCTAAGTTTAAATCATGACAAGCCATAATATAGGTAATTTTCAATTCAACAGTTTCTAACTTCTTCACCCAAACTAGGAAATTAATCAAACTAATTCTTTCCCCTTCCAGCACTTTTAATTAAAAAGAATTTTCACTCCATAATCTATCATAGAACGTGATTATACACCTACTTATATTAATTTCCCCTTGTTTAATTTTAAAGTACTAATTGTCATCCTTTGGACATCTATATAAACCTTTTATCCCCCACTTGTATTTAAAACCTTGTAATCCTTACAGACTATTATTATATATCTCCTTGAATATTGTTTTAATTGCGCAGATGTAGTCTTCTCAATTTTTTCTTGGAAGACACTCCCTTCAGGACACTGTTTTCAACTCCTCTCCAAGAAATACCCTCCTCACCTTTCTTCTGCTGAACACCATAAAATTTTTTATTATCAACACTGAGTTTTTTAAAACCCTGTACAAAAATGCAGTACAAGGAAAGGAGGGGACTATGCAGATTGGACCAACTGCATGTGTGAGGCTCCCAGCACTGAAATTCTCAAGTCATGGGAACCCCACCTGAAGTGTTGCATGCAGGTCTGGGGCTCCCAGCATAAGAAGGATATGGACCTGTTGGAGCGAGTCCAGAAAAGGCCACAAAGATGCTCAGAGGACTCGAGCACCTCTCCTGTGAAGACAGGTACAGAGAGCTGGGTTTGTTCAATCTGGAGAAGAGAAGGCTCCAAGGAGACCTTATAGCACCTTCCAGTACCTAAAGGGGCTACAAGAGAGCTGGAGAGGGACTATTTAAAGGGCGTGTAGTGATAGGACAAGGGGAATGGCTTCAAACTGATAGTAGGTTTAGATTAGATATTGGGAAGAAATTGTTTACTGTGAGGGTGGTGAGGCACTGGAACAGGTTACCCAGAGAAGCTGTGGATGCCCTATCCCTGGAAGTGTTCAAGGTCAGGCTGGATGGGGCCCTGAGCAACCTGGTCTAGTGGAAGGTGTCCCTGCCCATAGCAAGTGGGTTGAAACCAGATGATCTCTGAGGTCCCTTCCAACCCCAACCATCCTATGGTTCTGTGAAGGCCTGCACAGAGTTTCAGTTGCAAGTTTGTGAGGCTGTAATCTTTCTCCAAAAATCAGTAGATCTAAGGCTCCTTAGCACGAGGTTTTCTAAAGCTGTAACTCCCACAGAGCAGTTCCATTTCCAGCCTTAGAGATCTATGTCACTTTTTAGAACTTTTGACAGCACCTTTGTTGTAACAACAGTCCTTGGCGTAAGCAGCAGCTCCTAATGACCATCAGCCAGCCATGCTGATCTACATGAATTAAATCATGGCATGTTGTCTACATAGTCTACATTATCAGAAGTTTTTCATTGTTTTCCCAATATTTTCTCCATGTCCATTTTAAAAACTTCATTGTTATAAAACCACCCTAGCAATTAAGTCATTTTGTAACAGCTTGTCCTTCAGTCCAGCTCTTCTCACATTATTTTCTCTTTGGTATTTTTTTTTTTTTTGTATCAGCAAAGATATTTTAGGAATTGAGAGTTTTTGTTTAGCTGCAGCTAAAAAGAATAGTTTGAATATTCATAAGAATAGTCTGAATATTCATGCCATGAAAGGTTTTGCTGCTAGTGCAGTGGATGCACTTCCACTGATGTTCAGTCTTGCTCTTTTCACTCTCTACTTTTACACTTCTATTCTCCAGAAAGATACACCTCTTTTTTCCCCCTCTGACTTGAAAAAACTTCAATTGCAATTCTCCACTTTCAGTGCAAGATCTTTTATAACACTTGGATCCAAGCGCTGTATCTGTAAAGATACAATTATCACTTCTTGGTCTATCTAAATTCCTCCATACATGCTTTCTAAATTAATTAATACATCCTTGAGGAGAAACTTGACCTCAGGACTAT